CTGGATGGTGACTGTTTCTGTGATTTTAATTTTCTTTACACGTATTTCTATTTCCTAAGTTTTCTATAAAATACTCATATAATTTAATTAAAAGAAAAAAATCACTATATGACATTTCAAATTTATAGTATTTAAAAAAAACTGGTTTTAGATACCTCGAGTGACTTAAATCTTTCTACTTACACATTCAGATACCTAGTGTTGGAAAATACAAGTATATAATTGATCCTAATTTGTTTATATAACCTTTCTCATGACTTTCCCTTTTGCTGAAATTAGTATTATTAGAAGTTAGTACAAAGCCTAACACTTTTCTAGGCTTTTAACCAGTTTATTTGATCTAAAGCAAAATAAACAGAACAGTCAAATCCAAAGTTTTCATGAACCAGCTGGTTAGCAAAGACCAACATAAAAAACTAGATTTTTTTTACCTCAGTATCATAGGTTGGATTGTAGTCATTATAACCAGAATAAAGATCATCTTCATCTGTCTCTGGGGCCAGGTGTACATTTTGCATCATTTGTACCTATGAAAAATTGGCAGTGTAAATATGTTCTTGGTATATGAAGTAATTCTTAATTGAAATAAAATATAACTACTTAACAACCTTTCTGGTCAAATTTACTGCTACATATTTTTATGACTTAAAATTTTTTCACATCAAATTCTCAAAACTAGGTGTCAAAACATTCATTCATTGCTCTCATTTCAAATTTATTCCGCACCTATTACATTAAAAGGACAGTGACAGGCACTCGAGAGAAGTACAGTTGGTTGCCCTTATTTTCAAAGAGCTTAGTATCAAATGCAGAAGAACATATGTCAATTATAATGCGATGCAGAAACTACTACACACCCACTACAATGGTTAAATTTAAAAAACCAACAACACAAAAGGTCAGCAAGAATATGGAGTAATCTAAATAGTCATACACTGTTATTGGGGGTGTAATATGGTACAATTTTGGAAAAAAAGGCTGGCAGTTTCATAAAATTAACATTTATTTCTTATGACCCAGCAACACCACTCCAAGTATTTACCTGAGAGAAATGAAAACACTGGTCCACAGAAGTATTTATATAAGAATGTTCACAGGAGCTTTATTCTTTACAGCCAAAAACGAGAAGCAGACCAGATGCCTATCAACACAATGGATAAGCAAATGTGGCATATTTATGCAACCAAGTATTATTCAGCAATAAAAAATAATGCACTGCTCACATATATAATATGAAAGAATTATGTTGAGGGAAATAAGCCTCACAAAACTGTACCTTATGTGTCATTTCATTCATTTAAAATTCTAGGACAGGCAAAACTATTGTGGAAAACAATCGGAACAGTGGTTGCTTTTTAGGCATTGGGACTGGAGACTGAATGGAAAAGTGCATGATTATAGAATTTTCTAGGGTGATAAATATTCTATATCTTGACAGGGGTTTGGGTTATACTGGTATACGCACTTGTAAAAACTCAACAAATGCATACTTGAAATTTTTCTTTTCATTGTACATTTTTTCTTGAAAGAAAAAACTGTAAATAAATAGCAAACTATAATTATTATGCATTTAAGGGAAAGCTTAATATCTGTAATTTAGTTTGATGTGCATAAAAATAATATGGATAAATGAATAGGTTTGTGATAAAGCAAGTACAGAAAAATGTTAATGGTAGAATCTGTCGCAGGTATGACGTTCACTATAAAATTCTTTAAGCTTTACTGTACATTTGAAAATTTCCATAATAAAATGTTGAAGAAAAAGTGTAAGACAGAATAAAACAGATGTCAGAGAAAAATATAATTACAGTATACATATACTGTAAGTAAATGCAGTAATTACTAGAGAATTCGGGAAGAATTCTTGGACAAGTAATCATTCAAATTGAAAAATATTTTAGGCAATTTGGGGGAGGAGGCAGGCTAGCTACCCAAGAAATGCAGTATTGAACTACTTTATCTTAAAATACATATTTTCTTTAAGTTTGTACAATGTTAACTGTGCCAGTAAATTCTGACAAAAATTTCAGCTTAATCTTATTGCTCAGTATAATGCCAAACCTATGTGGCTACTTGTAACCTTTAAAAAAATTTTTTACGTGAAATATAAAATTACTAATTTTTTATATAATTCACATATACATAAAATTTACCTTTTTAAGGTGTACAATTCAGTGGTTTTTAGTATACTCACAAGGTTGTGCAACCACCACCACTATCTAATTCCAGAACATTTTCATCAACCCATAAAGAAATCTGAGACCCTTTTAGCAGTTACTCTTCATTTCTCCCTCCACCTAGCCTATGGCACTAATCTACTTTGTCTCCACGGATTTGCCAATTCTGGACATTTTATATGGAATCATCAAATATGTAGCCTTTAATGTCTGGCTTCTTTCACTTAGCATAATGTTTTCAAGGTTCATCTATGTTGTAGCACGCATCAGTACTTCATTCCTTTTTTTTTTTTTTAAAGATTTTTTTATTTATTTGACAGAGAGATACATAGCGAGAGGGGAACACAAGCAGGGGAGTGGGAGAGGGAGAAGCAGGCTTCCCGCCGAGCAGGGAGTCTGATGTGGGGCTCGATCCTAGGACCCTGGGATCAGGACCTGAGCCGAAGGCAGACGCTTAATGACTGAGCCACCCAGGCGCCCCAGTACTTCATTCCTTTTTATGGTTGAATATTTTATCTATTAGTTAAAGGACATTTGGATTGTTTCACTTTACGGTTATTATGAATAATACTGCTATGAACATTTGTGTGCATTTAGTGTGGACCTAAATTTTTTTTTTTTTAAAGATTTTATTTATTTGACAGAGAGACACAGCGAGAGAGGGAACACAAGCAGAGGGAGTGGGAGAGGGAGAAGCAGGCTTCCCGCTGAGCAGGGAGCCTGATGCGGGGCTTGATCCCAGGACCCTGGGATCATGACCTGAGCCGAAGGCAGACGCTTAACGACTGAGCCACCCAGGCGCCCCGGACCTAAATTTTCAATTCTATTGAGTGTATACCTAGGAATGGCATTGTTGGGGCATATGGCAACTCTACGTTTAATTCTTGGAAAAGCTGCTAGACTCCAAAGTGGCTGCACATTTTACATTCCACCAGCAATGTGTGAAGATTCCAATTTCTCCATGACCTAGCCAACACTTGTTATTGCCCCTCTTTTTGATTATTGCCATTCTAATGGGTATATAATGGTATCTTTGTGGTTTTGATTTGCATTTCCTTGATGACTAATGATGCTGAGTATCTTTTCGTATACTTATTGACCATCGTATATCTCTTTGGAGAAATGTCTGCTTAGATGCTTTGCCCATTTTTAAAAATTAGGTTATTTGTCTTATCTGAGTTATAAAAATCCTTTATACATTCTGAATACTAGACCTTATCAGATTGATTTGCATATATTTTTATCCCATCCTATGCGCTGCCCTTTCATTTTCTCAATAGTACCCCTTGAGATGTCCTTTGAATTTTGATCATATACAATTTCTCCATTTTTTCCCTTGGTTGCTTGTGCTTTTAGTGTCACATCTAAAAAAAAAAAAAAAAAAATCACTGCCTAATCCCAGATCAAGAAGATTTACACCTGTTTTCTTTTAAGAGCTTTACAGTTTTAGCTCTTACACTTAAGTCTTTTGAGTTAATATTTCATTACTTTTTAGAGATGAAAACTATGAGAGAAAATGTCAATCAGATAGAAATGTTCACTTCAAACACCACCAAAAGTATTAAAAGTCACCAGGATACAAACTCCCAGTTATAAAATAAATGTCATGAGGATGTAAATTACAGCATAGAGACCATAGTCATAATATTGTAATAACTTTGGTGACAGATGGTAACTAGATTTATTGTGATCATTCTGTAATGTATATAAATTTCAAATCACTATGTTGCACAGCTCAAACTAACATAATATATATGTCAACTATACTTAAAGAAATAAAAATTTGAAAAATAAAAGTCACTGGTTTAAGATAAAGAAAGTATTTTAACTTAAAAGCTTTAGCTCAGAGAATGCTATACCAGTGGTTCTCAAACTTTAGCGTGCCTGAGAAACTGAAGGGCTTATTAAAATAGATTGTTACTCCCCCACCAGCAGAGTTTGTGATTCATTAAATCCTGGGTGGGAGTCATCATCACCCCCTCTATTCCTTTACAGTATGCATTTCATACAGTGTGCTGGTCTGAGAACCACACTTTGAGAACTTTCTAATTATGAGCCCCATTTCGGTCAGTTCAACTTACATGCATGTTATGAAAAAAAAGCAACTTTTAGAACTAGATATCCTTCTTGCTGGGTCGCAACCACAATGAAATTAGCTTACATCTGAGACTATTGCTGAACAGACATCGACTGAGCAAATTAATCTTAGAGATGCAGAAAGCGAGGCCAGGAAAAGTGAAGTATGGGTGACAGAGCAAATACTACAACTTCGGTTCTCTGGATTCCCCAAGGTTTCAAAAGCAGTTCATACACGTAACAACCCATTCGTGTTGCAACGATCTGGGGATGACACTAATATAAATTAAGTGCCAGTAACATCTTTTTTAAAAATGGAAAAGGTTTTTTTTTTTTTTTTTTATGATACTCTCCCACTAGTCAGTGGGATAGTTGGACAGTTTACATCCAAGATGCCTCAAAAGGTCACAAGCAGAAAAGGAAAGTGGGATTTTAGCCCTCGAAAGAATCCTGGAAAAACAATACGTCAAGTCTTTGGAATCTTGTTTCATCTTTTTGAGGCTGAGTACAGGTTTATGCCTTCTGTTGTGTTCTCTCATATTTCATGAATTAAACGTTTTATTAGAAAATTTCAAAAGTTTTACATAACACACAAAAATAAAGATGACTGTTCAGTGTATCTGCTATGAAATGCAAGAGCTGGTGGAGACGTCTAAGCTGGGTTCGAATTTCCCGGCTGCAGTGTTAATGATTTGGGACAGCCATCCGGTGCGGAGCAGCACTGCCTAGCCCTGCTTAAAGGAGTAACACAAACTCGCCGACTACGGGGATCAACGTTTGCGAACCAACGCCCGCGTTTCAGGGTGGACAGACGTGGGGCCTGCAGGCCGCGGCCAGCCCCAGGCGGGACGGAAGGAAGCGCCGGTGGGCAGGTAGAGCCCCTCCGCAAACCAAACCCCCGCCCCGCGCGGCGCCCCGAGGACCCGCGCGGGGGCGTGCCGCCAGGGGCCCGGCCTC